ACGTTTTCATGTGATAACGAGATGATTGTTGTGTGTTATTACTGATTACATCCTTCAATACCACAACAGAGAGAGCGGATTTAGAAGTCATGGCAGCCTATGTGTAATTCTATAATTAATCCTGTGTTTAACTTTTAGGTAACAAGACGACATTGTTGGTTTGATGATTTGCTTCCACTTCTGATTCATAAGCAATTAGACCTATGCAGGTGTTTTCTGAACAGCCCTGGTGTTCCGCCTGTAACAGGTATANGGATTTAGAAGTCATGGCAGCCTATGTGTAATTCTATAATTAATCCTGTGTTTAACTTTTAGGTAACAAGACGACATTGTTGGTTTGATGATTTGCTTCCACTTTTCATTCATAAGTAATTAGACCTATGCAAGTGTTTTCTGGACAGCCCTGGTGTTTCGCCTGTTACAGGTATAAGATGCATTAACCCCCAAAATGATTCCAGATTAAAGATTTTCATTAAAAAACAGTCTGAGTTGTTTTTACTGTATTCAATGCCCTCCAATCATCCACCATGACCTGACAATGAGTGAGAAGAAAAAGGAAACAAAAAAATTATTATTTGCAAACATGCTGTACCACAACTGCACAACTACGGGCAGCGCAGGCATGGATGGACTGGGAATCCAGGGCTGTTTGCCAGCCTCATTTATTACTCATACAGTTTAATCATCTCGTCATCTCAAGAAATCAACAACGGTTTTCTTGTGATAATGAAGTAAATATCTTGTTGTCTTGAGAAAATCATTAAAGGTTTAACCGTGATGCTGGTGAAGATTCTCTGTCAGAGTGGACCAAAAACAAGGCCAAAACCAGGCTTTGTTTTTGGTCCACTCTATAAAGGCTCGAACTCAAGGCTATTTCTGACATTTTGAAATGAAAAGGCTTCCTGGATGGGAGGCGAAATTTCTTCAAACTTGGAAACTAAACCCAGCTGATTGGTTTTTTAACTTTTTTTAAACAAAAAAAGTAGGTAGAGATACATGATAAATATATTAACCTTTTTTAAGATGTGATATTTAATTGTCTTGTACAGTATGCACTTGTCGACCTTTACAAGGGATGTAGTATGTATAAACATAGAAAATATATTTCTTTTCTACTAAATCAGACTAGAACCAGACTAAAACTTTTTTAGTGTTCATCCACTAAAACTGTTGCATATAAAACAATTTAATTATGACCAAAACAAATTTCCATTTTTGTCCAAAAGACTAAGTCTATTAAAAACTTTAAAAGCTGCCAAAAACAAACAGATGCACAGTCCATGCTCATATTCTAATTCCCTGTTCATATTTATCTCATGGGTGTGTGGCACAACAGTGGAGTTAAAGATAATTAATCTTTCCACGGATAATTTTGGTGTCTTAAATCAAAGGAAACGTACAAATACACGATCCACCTTAGCTTATATTTCTTAAACAAAGGTGCGATTTAGGTGCTTCATCACTGTGGCGGCCTTCCTTGTTCCAAAACCAACATTTTTCTGAACGCCGTTGGTGGCAACAGGTGGTGTTTCTGACTTGGAAAAATGTATTTTGTTTGTTTCTAGCAAAAAAACAAAAACAAGCCAGAATATAACTTAAAATACCTTACAGTTTAAATAAAAACAAACTTTAACTTAATGTGCTTTTACAGCTTAAAATAATTATCAAAGTGGTCAAAAATATCTTTTTACCTAAGTAATCAACCCAATTCCAAATATAAAAATGATAGATTTTGATTTCAAACTAACTTAAATATATTCTGTGTAAAAACTGAAACTAAACAGATATCTAAAAGGAACCTGTCAATTGACCAAATTTTTGCATAAATAGCACAATATCCACCACCTAGTTGTACTGCCATTGGTGTGATGTGTTTCTCAGGTTTCTTTTCCACTACTGCAGGCTGTGTTTGCTCCTTGGTTGTCTCGGCACACACATGTTGAGTATCCAATCAGCACAGTCAATTTGCTGAGTCATGCTCGGGTTGCTTTCAAATACCCCGTGGGTCTAGGGGAATAATTAAGGACCGCAGCTCCTTTTCACCCTGTTGGTGTTGATTCACCTGCTTGTTTATCTGTTTGCACAAGTTATCGGGGGAAGTAGGCACTAAAGAAGCAGAACTGATTCATTTTAATATGCTTTTACATCCAACTTTTATGTAGCCAGAAGTGTCCTAGAAATACCTCCCAGAACTTTTGTTTACTACGATTATAAAGCAGAAGAGAGCGTATTAGAAAGATGTCAGATAAATGTTTTATTCCCCCCGAAACTTGCTGTGCATTTTCCATGAATACAATATATCTGCTTTCTGCTGTCTCCAACCACTTCTTTCTCTATGCTTTTCCCTCTTTTGCATTTCAGTGAAAAACTACTGTTTTCCCCGGGTTTGCTGATGCAAAGAAATAAGTGCACTTTAAAGTTCGGGGAGATGGAGAAGTAAGGTGCCGCGGCTGTCAGAAATGGTTCAATTACCAGCTGGTATACTTGAAGGAAAAAGGCACAATAATCCATACAGTTTTTTTCTTTTTTTGTTTACCCATTTACAAGTTTTCTCTTCATTCTCTTGTTCTCTCTCTAGTATTATTGCACTGCAAAGTTTACTACCGGAGCATTAGCAATTCTAATGAAAGGAGTCCTGTACTCTGTTTGATCCGCCTGGGAGTAATATTAAAAGGATTTTTACCGGGAAGTGGAAAGAATCAAAAGACAGGATGATGGAAGAACAGGGTGATGACACTTCCTCACCTTCAAGAAGACAGTATGAAAAATGTGTAGAGGCAGATGCAAAAATGTGAGCTCCTTCAGACTTCCATTTCATGGTGCCGAACTCCAGTTTTGATTAAAAGGACCCCAAGTCAGGTTGCATATGTTTTCTGACTTTTAACTGCATGTTGTATATCCCTTTTCAGCATTTTCACAACCACATCCTTTGCTGTTTTTTATTGGAATTTTATGTGACAGGTCAACACAAAGCAGTAAATAAAACTGTGAGAAATCAGAAATGAGATCCATACTCTGACACTCTTAGAGTGTAAAGCAGGGTAAAGTTTAAATAAAGGTTTATATAGCAATATATGTTAGAGCAAAGTCAAACCCATCACCTGATTAAAATGCTGCAAAACCTCCAAAATATGATTACCCACCTAAAGTGGCATGTCGGACACCTGGAGCAAGAACAGAGACATTGCTGCAGAAAGCAACAGAGACCCTGATATGCGTTAGAAAACATGTACTAGCTACAGCAAACATGTCAACCTTTTGGCCTGCTAACGATATAATGTTTGCAGTAAAACATTCCCACTGTGGCAGCATCATGCTGTGGGGATACTTTTTTGGCAACAGAGTTGGGAAAACCTAAGATGGGGAGCCAAACCCAGAGAAGGCTCTCCTGACTCCTGACCAGAAAAGACTAGAGAATGACTTAAAATAGAACCATAAGACCTCCAGTTTACCATGTTGGTGACACAGAAGGTGTTCTAGTCAGTTTGCTGGTGAAGATTCTCAGTCATCGAATGTCAGTCATTCCAAAAAAAGTTTAAAAAAACAATCCACTGGACTTTGTTTCCAAGTTTGAAGACGTTTCGTTTCCCATCAGGAAGCAAAACATCTTCAAACTTGTAAACAAAGTCCAGTTTCTCACTTACCTGCTCGATTAAAAAAAAATGTGCTTAATTTAAGAAGCAATTGTCTCAACTGACAAGAATTTCCAAAAAAGTAAAAAAACAAAAATACACCGGACTTTGTTTCCAAGTTTAAAGACGTTTCGCTGTCCCACATTGGGACACCGGACAAAAATTGAAATCTAAGTCATTTGCTTTTTAGAATAAGTGCATTTTTCTTGAATTGAGCAGGAAGGTGAGCAACTTTGTCAATGGAAAAGGATAATTTACATTTAAAATAAGAAAAAAAACATCAACTGCATTTCAAGTCCTTGTTTGAAGGGTAAAACTACTCATTCTATTGGTAGATTATCTGATTTACATACTCAAATTAAGGGTAAATACAAACTTTTAGACATTTTCATCTATTTTTAGATTGTTTTTATAGTATTAATGTGTCCATAAACCTTAAACCTTCGTCCTCATAGTCGACACAATGGTGGCAGCATCATGCTGTGGGATGGAATGTTTTTCTTCAGAATAAACAATCCTTGTCTTACATTTCATCATGGTGCAGTTTTCTTTGTTGATCTATCAGATAAAATCCCAATAAAAGAAGGAACTGTAGCTTCTGTCTTCCATAATCTGGAGCTTGTGGTACATCCAGTCTCCCTGCTGTTGTTGGACTGCCATCTGGGCAGCTACAGTTGGAAGGAGGAAGGTGTGGACAGGTGTGTGTCAACATGTATGCATGAATAGCTGCTTATGTATCCAGGTCTGCTGTTTCTTCCCTTTAATGTGTGTGTGTGTGTGTGTGTGTGTGTTCTGGCTGCCTGTCCTGTCGCTCTGGCCCAGCAGCTGCCACCCCAGGCCAGATAGGATGACATGACCTTCCTTGGTAATGAAAAGGCACTGACAAATCACTGTCTGCTTCTCGTAGTGTGAGCACAGGAGGAGGGATGCTGACGCCAACATCATCCCTCTGTCCTTCCTTCTCTGGTTCTCTGTGGTTTTGTTATTTTCTCGCAAGTTTGTCTACAGGTTTGTCTCTCGTCCAAAAGCAGGGCTCTCATCGGGGGTCTGTCCCTAGACAGCAGTGTTTATGACTGAGAGGAGGATGATGGGCTCTGCTTCACCCTCTCTGGGCTCCCTGCCTTGTGCTTTTTTTCCAGCCTTAATTGGCCTTGGTTGAGGAGAGGGATTGTCTTGGCAAAGATGTGAAAAGGATATGCCTGGTTGCACACCAGTCGTTTCAGCAATCTATTAAATATAACTTGCAGGGAAGAGGGGAGCATTCTTCCACCTCACCCCCCATCCCTGTTTTTTTTTTTTTCTTTCTTTCTTTCTTTCTGTCCTTTCACAGAGCTGCATTTCTAACTTGGTTTTTCTCCTTTATTTCAGGGAGGAGTGAAGAGGAAAGACTAACAGACAGAGGTGTGTATGCATGACTCACCTGCCGCCGAGCATCCCATTTCGCTCTGATCCTCACACCCACACCAGCCCCTCTGTGCCTCCTCCCACTATCCATTCCCTCCACTCACACAGGAAAATGCTTTTTCTGTGTTTTTCATTCTCACTTTCTCTTTCTCCTTCTGTTCATATCACCCCTTTCCCCACATGCTGCTTCCTTTTTTTATTTTTAACTAGAGCTCTCTCCCTGTAGCTCCGATACACACCCTGTCACTTGACACTGATTGCCAGCCTGACTGGGTCATGTTGTATATTCCAAGTCTCGGTTGGTCAGAGAGGCAATTCTAGAAAACACTCATACAACCACAAAATATGATGTATTGCAGTTTTATGCAACAGACCGACACATCAGCACTAGTTTAAAGTGGAAGGGAAACAATGCATAGTTTTATAAATTAGACCAAAAAAAAATCTGAAATCCCTGTACTGCTGCTTCCTAATACATTTTGTTGTAACAAACTGCATTGAACCTGCCTATAATTTAATTCAACTGTAAATGCATTTTGTTAGTGAAATATTCAGAGGTGCTTTATAGAGAAGATTTGATACCAAACATACAGAGAAACTCTGAACCCCACCAAGACATGGCAACCCACAAACTAAAATCACAGCAAAGGAGAGCATTTATCTGATAAGCAGCCAAGAGGTAAATCTGGAGGAGCTGCAGTGACCTATCGCTCAGGTACCAGAGTCTGTTAAAAGGATAACCTGTAATTCTGCACTCCAAATCTAGCTCTAGTTGCTAAGAGTTAGCCACAATTTAAAGCAAGACCTACAAGACCAGCGGAAATGACCAAATTGGAAGTTTTAAGCCTATATGCTGGAGAGAAAAAAAATATCACAATTAAAGAATAATTAAATTAGTAAAAAAGTATCAATCAAAGAGAACAAAACCACAGATAAAAGAAAGTCAAAATAAGTCCTATTTAAAATGTGATACTGTATAAGCCATAACACAACATACATGTGGGATAAGATCCTGTGGTCAGATGAGACTAAAACTATCAAATAAACATACAGAAAAAATTATAAGGTAAAGTGTTGGCAGCAGCATGATGTGCTGATCAGAGGTAATGGAGGTACAGTTGGAGATGAACAAGACGGAACATAAAGAAAACCTGTAAAAGGTGGTTTACTTTATAGCACCACAAAAACCCTCAACATGAAGCCAGAGCTGCCATAGAACGGTTAGATCAATCAATGTCATTCAATAACCTCGTCAAAGTCCAAAATCCAGTTGAGAATCTGACAATACTTGAAAATTGATTCAATTACAATCTTACTCCAAGCGATATGCTTTCTTCTTTCTTTACAGCTGATAAGATGTACATTTAACAACTGCAAAAATAAAAAAATGCAGAGAAAGGTGGTTCTGAAAACCAAATCACAATATCTAGATCTTTATGAAAGAAAAAAACGTAAATTTTTTTTTCCACTTCAAAGTTTTGCACCACTTAGTGTCGGTCTGTCACTTAAAACCTGACTAAAGCACAATGAGGTTTGTGGCTCTAAGTGACGACGTAAAGCGTTAGGGTGTGAATACCTGCGAGGCAGAGTGTGTTCTGATTCACTTCAAATCTGATCAGCACTTTCTTAAAGTTCTGGAAATGATCCTCTGGTCAATTTTGCCATCACAGCTCTGCGGGGAAAATAATAAAATGTTCATCTGTGAATCAAACTTCAATTAACCTCTGCAGGTGTATTGATTGAAAAAGTCTGCAATATTTTGAGGTGCAGCTATTTCTTTTGGCCGACTTTGTTAGCATACCGTACCATCACCTGGTCAAAGTTGATTAGAGTGTTTTGTTTGTTGTTATTGTTTTTTTTTTTTTTTTTGCACCTTCTGAAATATTGATCAGCAGCCACTTCCTCCTTGTTTTGGTGCACAATCAGCAACCTGCTGGCCACTTTATTCTCGACCCACCTCTGTGTGCACATTTCCAAACAGTACACTAATGTATTATTAATGCTCTAACGGTTAGACAAGAGCAGCCCTCTGCCCTCGAGTATCCATTACTCCCTCTCTGCATTTAGCTGATATGAACTGTGGAGCAAATTGGTCCAATTCATTTAAATTAAGGTGCAGAGGGAGACAGTAGGACAGAGAGATGTCAGCAGACAGGCTGACTGAGGGAAATAAAGCTGTGGAACTGATAAACAAATCAAACTTGCGGTACAAACCCAACTTATTTTAGTTATTCATTTTATTTATTCTGATATTGGTCTTGTTAAAGCAACAGTGGGGATTTCTTTTCAATGTAATCAAATGAGTTTTTCTTCCTCTCCAACAGGAGCTGGGCTCTCGATGACTTTAATCCCCCGAGCACAGACCTTCCCCAGTTTTCTGTCAGATGAGTCTGAGCAGGAGGAGAGGAGCCACCACCAAGAAGAGGCTCCGTCGCCCTCTAGTGGCTGTGAATCCAGTTGCAGCCTCAGACCGCTTCAATGACAGAGAGAAGCTTAAAGTGCTGTGGACATTAACCCATCACTGTAGAGGAGTCAGCTACCTGAATAGTGATACATGTAATATATCTGTAGAAACGGGAGAAGGATCAAGGCAGATTGTAAAGTGTTGCTGCAGAAGTAGCTCCCAAAAGTGCACCAAAAATCTTCTTACGTGTGATTTAAAGTGTTTTTTATGTTGCCATTGTTCGTTTAACCTCTGCATGAACTGCTACTTTTTAAACTTTTTTTTTTAAACAAAGCACTTGGAGAGAAGTAAAGAAAAAAAGTCACTTTCAGCTGAAGATGTGCTGTAAAACAGCTTTAAAAAGCTTTTGTTCTGAAGTTGATAAAATAACATCAGGCATAATCCAGTGAGCTGCTGCCTCAGCAGCCTCTTCAAGAGAAGCTCCACCAGTTTTGACACATATTTCTCCCCCACTAACCACCTCCCCATCAGCTTTGTCGCTAGAATGTGAAATCGATCAATGCCTTACACAAAAAACAGCTTGATGTCCGTGGAGCGATGAATCAGCTAAACTTCCCTAATCGGTTCCAACCAGCAAAAAAGAAAAAAAGAAAGTCATTCAGAAATGGGTTTTGGGGCGGACAGTGGTGTCAGAGATGATTAAAAGCACGGCCCTCCTGCAGCCTCTGCTTAAAGTTGCTGGCATTACTTTTCACTACATCAAATTGACTTTAACAACATCTGAGCTGTTCTGAAGTTCCTGCTGTCAGGATCGACTGATAAGCTGTTCATCAACAGGAAGGTAAAAGCGACCTGATGGGATGATGGGTAATAAAAACCAGGAATAAAACTCATATTTGGTCTCAATGACAAGCATGGAGAATGTTTCTTCAGCAGGAAAATATGACAAAAATGGGTGTTCTGTGGAGGTTCAGGAAATAATTCAGGCTGTTTCCTAACATGTCTAAGTTAAATCATTCTGAGGTCCCTGTCAGCAAAGCACAGAGAAGTAAATACATTTGATGTGGAAAAATCCAGGTTTTCCATGACTTTTTCATCATTTTAACATCCGAAGAAATTATCTCAAGAGTTTAATGTTATTTTGAACTGATCTGTTTTGTGCAGATTTGACTCATCACAATTTAGAGTGCAATGACCTGTTTGACATCCCTTTAATTTCAATATTAAATATAAACTGATACTTAGTTTTGCATGGGAGTAAAGTAAAAAGAAACATTAATGTTTTCAAAATGTTTTGCAACAAAGAAACATTATGGGATTTTTATTTTGGCCTACATGAAAAAATGTACTGCAGAAAATTCCTGTTGAACATCCCCCTTAATGTCTCTTAAGATAAAAATATGGCAGTCATGATGTAGAGATGCTTCACTGTGCTAGTCAATCACAATGCTAGTAAAAGTCACAGAGGTTTGTGCTTCTGACTTCATAAAATATTAGATCTATCCAACTTATTGTTTGATTTTGTGCTTAAATTAATGAGAGAACCCAGCAAATAATTTAAACTCGAAAAGACCAGGGTTCTAAACTGGGTTTGGTTTAGACCCAAAAAGCACAAAAAAAAATCCTAGGCCAGATGGAAGATAAGCAGTGGAGTAGCATCTCTCTATACAAATGGGAAGCCCTTTTTGTTTGTGATGTTTTAGGGTTTGTTGAACAAACAGATAATGTAATAAAGCCAAAATTAGGTAAAAATTTCCCTCTATAAGGAGCACGGTGTTATAAATAAAAAAGCTAGAAATTCAGGAAAACATTTTGTTGGAGAATAGAAGGGAAATTAAACAAAATAAGTATGAAAGCTGTAGAAATGTCTTTACTTACGGTACACAACTAACTCCTCCAATTCAAAATGCTCTGACAGAAAAATCCTTGTGCCATTCATGATTGGCCCGACCCTCTGCAGTGTCCTTGTCCTGACCTCTTTGCTTACGTTTTCTTTTTCTCTCGCCGTCATTACTGTCAAAGCCTCAAAAATGATGGTTAAAATCAAAATACAGAAAACATCTTTGATCCAAGAATGAAGTGACAGAAAGGCAGGACAGAGACAGAAAGCCTCAATTATGAATCTGTCTGTTCCTGCAGCTCCAACAGGGCTGTGGTACAAACACTTGTTAGTCTTTTGGTGTCTCAGTGCTATGGATCGGATCATTTATTAGAACTCGCACCAAATGCATGTGAAACAGAATCGGTCAGCAGGACTTATGTGCCCACTGTTTCTTCTATCAGGGGGTCATTAAAGAGAAATTATAGGTTAACAAGGCAGGGCTGCATATTGTTAAGATGCGTTTTCTTCCCCCATTGTTTATAGAAAAGAGCTTGTAATGGTCCTGAAATCAGAGGTCGAAGCAAAGTGCCTTAATTTGGAACTCTTCATGTGTTGTAAAGGTTAACGTCTGGTCTGTTATATGCCCCCTTTTTTTATTATTTTTTTTTCCACACTTGGAGAATTTAAACACAGGCTTCACGGTGGAACAGTGGGTAGCCCTGCAGCAAGAAGGTTCTGGGTTCTATTCCTGGCCCGGGGTCTTTCTGCATGGAGTTTGCATGTTCTCCCCGTGCATGTGCGGGTTCTCTCTGGGTACTCAGACTTCCTCCTATAGTCGAAAAAGATGACATTTAGGTTAAATGGCTTCTCTAAACTGTCCTTAGGTGTGAATGTTTGTGCATGGTTGTGTGTCTCTGTGTTGTCCTGCGACAGACTGGCGACCTGTTCACGGTGTGTACCTCGCCTCTCGGCCATAGACTGCTGGAGATAGCCACTGCAACCCTGACAAGGACTAAGCGAGAGAAAATGTATGGTTGGATAGAGTTAAGCACTGAGGATTTAGTGTTAATTTCATAGCAATGCTCATTGCAGCTGAGTCTTTACCAATTGCAGCGATCTAAACATAGTAACAGCACTTGAGCAGCAGCAGGGTTTCTCTTTGCTGGAAGATACTGGAGGGGCTGAAAGGCTTGCTTAAAGAAAGGCATAATGAGTCTGAGTTTTTCTGGTCTGTAAACTCGACTAATTTAACAGTCTGATTTAGTTTAATGGCCTCTGCAGAGAACAGTCCAGATTAAGAAAGCCCACCAAATACTCTGAAAGCCTTAACTAGTTTTGGGAACTTGTGCGTAGCATTTCTAATTTTTCCCATACAAATAGGATATTTCAGCAGGAGTGCCCTGATAGTTGGCAATAGGAGTCGGAAAGTCAGGGCAAAAGGACTATTACAGACATTAGCATTTAAAATGCCTGCAAGTCACATCAGCAGTGGGAAAATGTTCTTATTTAGACTGTTTTTTAGAAGTTATTTATTATTTATTTGACATTTAGTCAGTCATATATGTACCATCTTTTAGTCTTTGTGAAACAAGATGTTCCGTGTTGTTAATGCACACAAAATACCATGCAGAGCTGTGCTGTTTTATGGCCAAAGTGACCAAACACAGTATAAAAAAAGAAGAGTTTCCATCCAGAGTTTCACATAAATGAGAAACACCTTTGATTTATCCAAATCAAAGTTTGGAGTCAAGTAAATAGGTTGCTGCATTTAACTTCCACAGCTCACGATTAAGTGGGCCCCATGTGGACGGACCTACTTAGATTTATGAAAAAAAATAAAAATCTTACCAGAAAAAAAAAAAAAAACAGATCGGTACTCAATGTAACTCCTGGGTTGGTATTAAAAAAAAAATAGATAACCCTCAAAGCCATTGTCTTAAAGATTGAGAACTTTATATCTTTAGACAGTCTAAATGTAAAAACCAACTGAAACAATGGCAGCCACCTTGTTGCTGATGCTTATTGGTCTAGTGTCATCACAAGCTGATGCTCTGTCTCCAGTTATTATAAAGCACAGTGGTTTTGTCTCTTTTATGGTTCACAAACAGATTAGTATTCTTCCCTAGTTTTAGCTAAAATGTATTGCCTAAAATGTTGGTAAACTGTTTCTGAGAGTGGCATCATGTTTTCTGTGTCAGTAGCGAAATGGGATAGCAAGAAGGAACGTTAGAAGCGTAGCTAAAATACAGTAATGAGAATATTGTGTCTCCTTATTCTGTTGCATGAATCAAATGTATCTTAACAAAAAAAAAAAAAACATGACTCCACATGAAGAGAAAGACCCTAGTGCCTTTAAATGCTGACTACAGATGGCAACATCCAACCAAAGCAGGGTTTTGGTTCCAAGTTTGCAATTTTAACCTTACTTTGTTCTATATAAACAGAAAATTACTTTAGTAGTTGTTGAATACTCTGGAAATATGCTACCTGAATAGGATTACATTTACTGCTCCCTGTCCTCCATCACCAGAGCCTTCCAGGAGGTTAGACAGGGGGCTGGTATGAGATTCTCCTGATAAGCTATAGGAAGAAAAACTGCGTCACAAAAAAACATGAAAAAAGATGTCATGTAACTGATTTTATTTATACCATCAAGCCAACTGTATCACCTTTAAAAAGATGATAGCCAGCACTTCTTTAGTTTCCACACCTTAGCTGTCATTCTCACAATAAGAAACAAACTACCTAAAAAGCCTTTGTTAAGCCAGCTGACCAGTAGTGTGCAGCAAAGGGTAGGGAAGAGCTGCACTAAACTCCAAACAGCAGGACTCTGCTCACAAACTATTTATCTGATGTTAAATTAAAAATAATGTTTTTTCTTTTTTTTTTTCAAACCATAGAAACCACTTTAAAAAAAATTTCTGTATCATTCTTATGGCTACATGACGTACATAAGTGGAAAATATTTCCCCTGCTTTGTTCAGTAAAGTGGTTAAAAATAAAATGGTTTTCATTGACAATCAATTTAGGCTGCCAAGCAGCCTTTTCTAAGTTGCATTTCTTTTGTTCCTGATGTTTTATTTCTACAAATTTCCTCCTCAGTTACCTGGAGAATTACAAGCACATTTTATCTCTTTTCCTGCTTTTACAACTATTGATTTTATTTATTCTCTGAAAAGCATTTCACCTCATAGAGACGTGTTGAAAGCCACAGCTCTGAGGTAGTTGTCATGTTTTAGCTGCAGTGTGGTAAAATGTATGTGACATAGTCCTCTGCTTGGGGCCACTCTCACTGAATGAACTGGATTAATGCTCCAGCTGATTGTGCTCATCTGCCAGTTTGTTTAATGTATGCACTTGTTTGTAGAGATGTCCCTATGTTTCGTCTTTTCTGAGTTTATCTGTCAATAGCACTTTGATTACACTGGTGTAGGACTGCAATTTTGACAACTGTACATATGTAATGTTTTTGAAGAACATAAGAGGAATAAATTGAATGTTGATATCATAAGCATATTGTTTAAGGCTTTTGTACTTGAATATAGGAAGAGAAAAATAAACCCACTTAGTCCAATGCTTGGAATACTTTTATGAAAAGGAAGTAAGGTAGCAATCCAGTGTTGTTTTTAGTTAGGATTAGGAAGATGGGCACACAAGCCCTCATTCCTCCTAAATTAAAACTTTGTTAGGGACACAAAACTTATCTTAAACTTTATGTTTTAGTTCAAAATTTTTTGCATTTACTTTGAGAAAATAAAAAATAAAAATTGTCAAATCTACCATTTCTTATTTCTATTTGTACATTTATGGACAAAGTAAGGATTCACTTCATATTTTGGAGCATTAATTAAAATTTTATTTTTCATATGAACTATATTTAGAGAAAAGTATAGATCCTGTTCAAAAAGTATCGAAGTAACAGTTTGGAGCCTCTTATGACGGTATTGTAAAGAGTGTAACTGTATATTATGTTATTTTTGCAGTTTCTGTTTATTTTTCATTTCTCTTTGGATTGATTTTTTTTTCTCACACTCTACCAAAAACTAGCCTATTTTTTAAATGAATGAATTTTAAATTGAGATATTAAAAAAATAATAATCTACACAAATATAAAAAGGAAAAATATACCATTTTCTATCCAATGCTAAGAAGTTTTGTTAACCTGATGGTTTAAGGTTTCTTCTGAATGCCGCCTGTTTTTTTTGTTTTGTTTTTTTTTAACCATGAGGGATTTTCTTTTTTCAAACACTCCCACACCGCAACAGAGAGACACAGACATGGTTTTATATTTGTCATAAGGAGTCTTTATCAGTCATAAATATCAGTTTCAATACAGCTTGCAGGACAGAGATTCTCAAGTATCCTCACAATCAAATGTACTTTTACAGTTTCTTTACAAAGGTTGCAAAGAGAAAAAAAAAAAAAAAAAAAACACAACCCATGAACCCCAAACTGTAATGTCCCTTTCTGTTCCACATTTGTCTTGTATCCTAGCGGAATAGCCCTCTTATCCATTACTGCCTCTGCCTCCATCTCTATGGAGATAAATGAATTAAATTACACAAACAGCACAGAGTTTAATTTCACAGTAGCTGCCATAAAACCGCAAATATTGATTTACAAAAGCAAACTCATGAAGAAAAAAAAAGGAACAAATACCAAAGGGGAAAAACATTCGACAGTTCATCTTTATGTTTTGAAAAAGCAAAGGAGGTAAAAAAAAAAAAAAAAAAAAAAAAACTGTGTATATTCATCAAAAAGAAGTCAGAGAGAGTAAAAGATATAAACTGCAGCCCAGGATTTGTTAATTAGAGTTCAGCTTTCAGTCTGAGGGCGTGCTGTAACTAGAAGAGAGTCAGAAAGCCTGTTGGGGAGAAAAGCAGAAGTCTCAAGTGACGGTACATTGCTGAGCGACTGCTTTTCTTCTCCGTTAGATGATTAGACACTATTGTCAAGCTTTGAATGGAAACCAGGAGGGATGAAAGTGAAAAGAGGGCAATTACACAGGCTTTTGTCAATCGCTTTACTTGAAGGGGGTTAGGGAAGAGAAAAGAATGATTAGACAGGCTTTTGTCTTTCTCCTCTGCGTGATGGTTACTGTCAAATATTGTTTTGTGGAAAAAGCAAACATCCCCTCAACAATAATTACATAGTACATTTAATTAGGGGGAAGCAAGGCTGGTCCCAAACAGCCCCCGTCAGCTTTCTGACTCTGAGATGAGCACCGGCTTGTTAACTCATTTCAAACCGCCGTGTGAATATTAAACAGTGCCGGTGTGGATCCCTGCATCTGATTAAAAACTCAAATGGATAATTACAGTCTGCGCTTGCTGACATTTATTTATCCTCGCTCTGATGTACAGTGAATGGAGTGTGAATAGCTAAGAGCGCACTGACAGATGTAGGGAAAGCAACATGAGTTACAGCAAGCCTCTCCTTTTTTTGTCCCGAGGTTGATGTGTGGTTTGGAGCGAGCGAGCGGCCGGCAGGTTGGCATAGATGGGGAAGCTTTTAGTCTGTCTGGACTTCTTCACAATCCTGGGACACAGAGGGATGTTCTCATAGATGTTTGGCTGTGAGGAGGTAGTTGATGTTAGTAGAGTTTAAGATGTTAGACAGAACATGCTTGTTTTTTTTGTTTTTTTTTTATACCAGCAGTGCAGTTAATGGGTAAAAAGAAGAATACTTTGCAAATGTATACATGTTCCTCTATTTAGTGTCAGACTTAAAGATTTGTACAAAAACTGATAACATCTGAAGAAAGCGGCCTGCATCTATATTTAGTCGGTTTGATAAAGACTTGTAGAACCATCTTTTGTTGCTATAAGGGCATTTTTATAAATTTTTTAGGGGAGGGGTGTTATCTATTCATCTTTGAAACATTGCTGAAGCTCAGTCAGATTAGAGATAGCAATTGTGGAGTCTCAACCCAAATTCACAGATTTTGGTCCAGATCATCCCAATTTAACGTTTATTTTCTGATCTAAACTATTCAGTTGTAGCGCTGGCTGTTTGTTAAAGGTATAGTGGAGGATTTTCGCAAATTTTTTGAAAAGACCCGCCCCCTTTCAAAAGAAAAAAAAAACACTTGCATAATTCTCTACCCGCTCCCGAGAGGGAACGCCTATTAAACGCATGTGAGAGCCCAAAAAAAGAAGATTTGCAATTTTTCCACTATATCAGACTCACCACCAGTAAGTGAGAAGTGAAAAATGTAGACGAGCACATAGGACGGCCTTACATAAACATATCACCAGAATGATTGACAATTAGGAGGACCACTTATGTTGATGATCCACCCTGAAGACAACATCCTCCACTATACCTTTAAGATTCTGAAGGGTCTTCAAATCTTTTCCAGACTCTGATAGATGTTTTCCACCCCATATTTTCCTGTATTGAACTCCATCCATCTCCTAACAAGCTCTGATCAGCTTTCCTGATTGTGAGGAAGAACATCTCAAAGCAAAAAATAATCTAAAAATGAGTAAAAATATCTTAAGAAAAGTGTATTTTAATTTAAGTAGGGGAATAAGATGATCTGTTAATGGAATGAGTATTTTTACCTTTAATTAGACATTATTTATTCTAAATAAGAGACTGCAGTTGTTGTTTTTTTATTTTAAATGTAAATAGTCTTATTTCATTAGCAAAGGGTCTTACTTACATGCTGAAATCAAGACAAAATATATTTATATTTTTGAAGCATCCATACAGCATGATGGTACACACCTATCTATTGTTTCTTTTTGTTACTTGGGGACTTTCTAAGGCAGTGCGTTGTACTTTATTTGAGCATTTTGTGCAGGAACAGAGAATTATGATCTCTTTACTGAAGGCAAAAGAACTTTACATTGAGTAAAATATATTTATCTGCACCAGCAGGGTAAGTACAGGCATTCAAGGGGCTGAAAACATATGCACACAACACTATTATTCCCGTGTGGTTAAATTAACCAAACTTTTTTTTTTTTTTTTTAAACCCTCTAACAAAGGCTCACTTCAGACTGCACCACTCGGGATGGTGATCAGTTTGGGTGTGCAGCTGAAACGTTAGTTGTAAAGTCGAACAGCTTTGTAGTTCAGCGCATTTCTAATGAGAAGGTTGGGGAGAGCTTTGAAAGAGTCGAGCGTAAAGAAAAGAGTTGATAGGATGAATAAACTCATGCCTACCTGTCTCTGACTGGGGTGCAGCTTGACTCGGTACTCCTTCCTTCGTTTTTTTTTCCTGGGATGATTAGCAGATAAAATGTTAAATTTATAACCCTGAAAGACCACGTATAAAAACAAGATTTCCTTTATGAGCTATACCTGCGCCTCAACCCAAGTATGAGAAAGGAGATGATTAGAACAAGCCCAGCAGCTCCAGCTCCAAGGTAAATATACATCATGTATAGGGAGAGGCTGAATCCAGCTGCAATGAGATGAAAAATATGGATTTAATATGAAATATATGGAAAAGATATTCTACATGGGTTTTCCATATCTAAAGACCACAAAATATTTTCTAAGACAGATTTATCTTAACCAGACCAACAGCAAATGTATGTTCCACCACGTTTGAGCTCCTCTAAGCACATCACTACTTGGAGCAGGTGTTTGTGGTTTTCACAGTTCTGACTGTATCTGTTTCACTGTATAGGTTGCAGCACACTTTGCACCAGAAAAGATTCATTCGCTTTGTGGACATCAGAGATCATATCCTGTGTGTTGCTTTGTGTACCTGGAGGAGCTACTGTGAGCTGTACAATGGTGTTCTGGATCCCCCTGTCGGTTTTATAGGAGCAGCGATAGAAACCGTCGTCTTCTGATGTAACATTAGTCAGAATCACATTAATATCCAGGCTTTCTGTGCAGTCCATCATTCCGGTGATTTCTACACCCTGATCAACCATCTTACACTCCCCGACAGTTAACCAACGCTTGCCGAACATCAGTTTCTCCAAATAAGCCATGTAGACTGTACTGTTTTGTGGTTTATTGCAGCTGATGGTCAAGTTGCTGCTGTGCTCAGCTACGAGCTGTGAGTCTACTTGGAAGGTTTCTAGGGTCGGGGCCTCAGTGACGTTATCTTCTGGTGGCTCATCTGCAAGAAGAAAGCAACAACCTCCAAATTAAAACATCAAAATAAGATTCATATTTATTTTTACGCCGAGATCTAAGCTTGGAATTTACCCAAATCCTCCACCCAAATGTCCCTGGTCCAGGATCCATGAGGGAAAGTATGGACAGAACAGTGATAGAGCCCAATATCCTGATGGGTGACATTCTTTAAGGAAATGCTCCCATCCATAGGTGTCACCTTGAGGAACTCTACCCTCTCTATGTACTGGTGATGCAAGGAGACTCCATGCTTTGGACTGTAAACAGCAAAGGGATTTTTCTGTGGCACTTTGGTCCATGACACCATGCTGAGCTGGCCATCCCAAGGACACAAGCAATCCAGCACCATTCCTTCCTCCAGCCGTACTGTTTCCCCGTTTGTCTGCTGGACAGCACCTAGAGAGAGTTTTACCGTTACCATTTTAATCATAATACAACATGCTGCAGATGTGACTGAAAATGTTTTCTTCTTGCATTTGTTAGATCCTGTTGACATACATCTCTATGAAACACTTAAGTTTAGTAGGCTTTTGTTAAAAACAAATTAATCTAATGCAACATGTAGAGACAGACAGGGGCAGCATTCCTTATTTAAACCTTTCTCCAGACTATCTCCTCCCTTATACTGACAAAATACTTTAAGAATTAGTTTTGAGTAATCCCAATACTTTAATTTCTAACAACAACTCAAATATGATTTACTTTTGGTATTGTAGCTTTCATTTTTTTCTCCAGATAGTAATTTCATAAGCTGACATCTCACCGCCCGATGTTTTTCTTGGACAAAGATTGCTTGTTTCCTGCCAGGCCAACCTCCAAAAGTCTACGCTTAATTATGTGTATAGAAATTGTTGTACCTGACTGCAGCCATTCCTAAGCAAGCTCTGCACTGGTGGAAACCACAGCCCTGCTCCATCACTCCTGGAAGTTCCAGAGAATTCAAGGGATTGTTGATTTGCCTAAAGCTTACTTACTGAAAAAGTTCTTTTGATACTAAGTCCTACTGATATTTATCGTCTACAAAGTTAAGCGATATAATCAAAGAAAGACTGGATTTAGACATCTGAAGCACTGCAGCTGACAGTGCTTCCAGGTCATTTTGTGGCAGGACAGCATAAAAGACGGAACAAATATGGTTTTGGTAAAGAAATTAATTGATTTGGATTTAAGTGATTCATCTGATCAGTTTTTAAAGCAAGCTGGATAATAAAGCAGTAAAAAGTGACGCAGAATATATAGTAGAAAAAACAAACACTCTCCATCTGTTCTAAAAACCTTTAAAGGCTTGGAAATCTATAAAAACAAAAATGTTCTTTTAAGGGAATTGTCTAGAGGTTTCCATTCCAACAAAATAATACAAAAAAGGGGAGTTTTCTGAACTTCCTTAACTTGGATCGCATCAAAGCTTATTCTTAACGACTAATTTAAATATCTATGTACAAACATAACCTATAGGTGTGAAAGTAAAGCCTCCAGACTTGTTTTTAATCTAACATTTAAACCGTTTTAATGAGAGCAGATTTTCAACTGAGAGATATTTAAAGTTTAGAATTAAGAATGCTTTGATTCAATCTATAAAATAAAGGATTTTTATTGTATTTAGCTTTCAAATACAAAAATGCGACATCACATATAAAGACTGAATGTTTTGAAATAAACAAAAGACAATAAGACTTCGCTTTAATGAACAAAGTTTTTTACAAAAAAAGAAGAAATACAAAAAAAAAAAGGATTATTTATAAAAAAAAATACATCCATACAGTCATAAATATATACCAAAAGTCGATACCTTTAAGAAAAGGGAGGAAGAGGAGTACCACGAAGTACCAGTAGTCCTTTTGTACAGCCTCCATGTTGCCCCACCGAAGGAGAATGAAAGTGGCATTGATGAGACGAGTGCAGAGGCGCCTGAGCTGCACTTCCTCCATCGCTGCTTACAGAGAGGCACTTAAGTAACAGGGGCACAATTCATGGTGTTCCACTGTTGGCTGGCTCCAAACAGAGGGCCTCTTTATCACTGGGATTGGGAGTGGATGGCAAACCTACGACATCATCCTTCATGTTGGGGTTTCTAATGAAGTTTGTCCTCCATGAAAATAACACGTAAAACTCCTTCTCTGATCAGTTACACATAACATAAATGTAATAAGCATGACTACATCAATAACAGGTCGCTTCAGTTTTAATCTTAATCCTAAATATTTGTGTTTCCTTGAAATGTGAGGTTCTATCATCTAATAATGTTTTTCTGCTATTGATTTAAAAGAAACAGCGGTGGTTTGGTTTGGATCAGCTGCAGAATGTCACTTCAACCACAAAGGAAGAGTTTAAAGCCACATGTACCCAGTTTCTGAAAGACGAGACCATGCACAGAAAAAAAGGTCGACCTAACTTTAATAACCAAATGCCAGCTGATAAATAACAAAACATGATGAAAAACTACACAAACAAAAAAGTCTATTTCGATCAACTGTTTAGCAACTGTGAAATATGATCCAGGCACTTCTGCAGGTGGGAACCCAAAGGTTCCTGCTTCTTCTCTGCATCTATAAAACAGAGAATAAAAAATATTAAAAACAGACCAGAAAACTAATTACATTAAAAAAAAAAAAAAGTGGTTACATGACGGTCATTTCAAAATAAAAGATTTGAGATGTGCCAATATTTTTTGACATGGGAGAGCAGCTGGAAGACATGGGACAAAGGTCAAGAGGTCAAGATTTTAACCTATGAAGCTGCATTGAGGACTAAGTAAGACCTTCATTCATTGGTTGTGTGCTTTTATTCCTGCGCCACCGCCGTGCCCCCATTTTATGTTAAGTAAAAAATAACCTTAATTAGCTGTAATTTAAGTTGTGTTTTATTATAGACCTAAATAAGAAAAAAATAACTAATCATTTTGTCATTATCTGATACCTTAGTTTGCACTAACATGCTACATACATACACATAACATCACTGCCCATAAACACATGGAAAAAATTCTTGGTACCTCTCATTTAATGAAAGAAGAAGATACAATAGTACAAGAAATAACTTGAATCTAACAAAAAATACTGATAAGTAAAAGTTCTATGAAAATAAAAGTCAATTTTGGCTGAAACTACAGATGCTGTGATCTTACACTGATATTCCTTGAGCTTGAAGTTTAACCTCCATTTCTTAAAAAGTTTTTCTGGAATCTTTTGTTTTCATTCATATTATCTGTATCTGATTTGTCAATCTTCCTCCTACAGATAGACCCAGGGAGGTCGGCTACAATCCCATTGTTCTTACATTTCTGTATGATATTCGCAGCTGTAGTCACAGGAAGATCAAGGTCTTATACAGTAGCCTTTACCTTTAATATGTGTCTATGATTTTCTTTCTAATCTGCTGAGACAACTCTTCCATTTCTCTGGTCTGAATAAAAGATTGTAGACTCCTGTGGTGCTAATGAGTAGACACATCATGACTTACGATGTTACTTTGGTCACATTATTTTCAGTCTTTTCTAGGGGGTACCATTATTTGTTGTCCAGGCCTGTTTCTAAAGATTTTTTTTTATTCTATTGAAGCATGGTTGAAAAGCAATCTCAGACTTTCATGCGTTCATTTTCATGAATTTGTGTTTATTCATTATTACTTTTGTCAGATTCAAGTTATTTCTTTTAACATTGTGGGTTTTTCTTTCACTAGATTTAAGGTGTGCATAAGGAACAGTGCCTCCTACTTACAGGATGGTGACAGAATTAAATGTCTAGTAGGAGGAAATGGGGGAATTTTTTGTTTTTTTCTTTTGTAAAAAAAAAATACAATCATATAGAAATTGGAAAGGGGGATTTAAGCCAAATTTTAATTAATATTCCTGTTTAAACCACAAAAAGGCTTTCATGTTTTCATGTTGCAATGTAAAATCAGATAAGCACTTAATTTAAACTTTTCATTATGGACTCAAATGAAAGCATCCAATTTCTAAAATATGGAAGGGCTGTTCATTGAACATGTGTGTGGAAACCGAGATGCTTGGTGTTTTTAAAGTGAGAACATTGCATGCCTTGCTTGAAGATGGTGAGGGCCTCCTGGATTTTTAATCGAACGGATGGACATTTCAGGGCAGCCTTCGCCTTACAAGAGAAAAAACAAAAACACAAAGAACATAAAAATGTTACGTTCTTAGGTTGTGTTGAAAACATCAAATCAAACCTTAATCTGAGTGTGAGTGTGTGTTAGTGTTTGTACCCTCTGATTGTTGTGCAGTAAAGCCCACAGTGCAGAAGCTCCTATACAGCAGGTTTCTATCTCTTTACTGTCCAAACAAGACAATAAAACTTTCATGGCTTTATCTGGAAAACAAACGTACACAGAAAATATACATGATCAGTAATTTTCAAAAAATCTATTAACTAATATAAATGATTGTTTTAAAATTATTTCATCATCATGCGGTTTGATTAAATAGAAACTTATACAGCAAAAAACTGTAATTAAATAAAGTTCAATACAGTTACTGAAACACCCTAACAATTTTAAATAGAGAAGAAGGATTTCAGCACACGGTCACAATAGGGGTCTCAGTTTCCTAGAATTGCTCAATAAAAACCACAGCTTGCACAGAAAACATTAATCCTTCCACAGGAAACAGAACGGTGGTCATATGACAGTTTCCACACACCTAGGCCTTGAACTACCACCTGCAGTGTACTTTGTGTGTGCGACAGAGGCACACCTACACAGTTTTTCAGTCTCAGCAGCTTCCTCTGCTTTCATTTCGTCTTAGTCGAAGATTATTTCACCTTTGAAAAGCTGAAACGCCAGCAACAACCTGCCTAAGTCAAACTAACCTTGAATACAACTGAAACCAAATCAGGTGCTTTGTAAACCCAATTTTGTATTTTGTTGTTTTTTATTGCTCTCAAAATAATCTGTCCATTGCTTTCTAGCTTATTAATTACTTTAGAAATTGATGGGAACAGCCTAATGTGGCAATGATTTGTCATAAGATGAGAAAATGTGCTTTTAGTTAGGAAATATATGTTAGATTCAGAGGAAACCTATTATCAATTATAATGTTTAAAAAATATTTTATTAAGTTGAACATTCAACAGTGCCTAAAAATCATTACACCCCCTTAAATGTTTTCAAACATTTTTAGCAAGACAATGTTTATTACCTTCAAGTATTACAGCCCAGTTCAATACTTTTTGAAACCACCTTTGTGTTCAGTTACGGTTGCATATCTTTTCACGCATGCTTTACCCCAAGAATGAAAGTCTAGAGCTTTAATTTTTGAGTTTTTTTTTATTGGGTTTAATTCTGGACTTTGACTGGACCGTCCTAACTTCAGGCTACATGTACATCTAAACCAAGAGCAAAAACATTTGTCAGATGCCTGCATTTTTTGCATGTTTTAGATGAGTTACTGGTCTTACGCTGATGTATCAGCGAATGGTATTTCAACCTTCTGCAGAACAAGATCACAAGTTGAGGAGCTAATTCAGCTACAGGAAGTGGTCAGGTTAGATCAGAAACAAAATGTGAGATCATTTCTTTTTAAAGCTATAGTTGGCCACTGCTATTTAGATTTACATTGTACTACTGGCTGGATGTTTTGGGTCACTGTCCTGCTGACAGACAAACCAATCAAACAATTCTCAGGCCTTCTCATGAAAGGCAGCCCAGAGTAATGAACAAGATGAGATTGTAAAGGAAAAAAAAAAAAACTAATTTGACCAGAAGGCCTTTTCTCCACACTGATGTGTTCCTTACATAACTTTTGACAAATTCTAAGCAGAATCTAGCATCTAATGAGGTTCTTTCTTCTTCCTAAATATATGGAGTGTAAAACTAATAGCTACCCTGTGATCTAACTGTTCCACCCAAGCTGTGGATCTCAGCAGCTACAGCAGATTGACTGAAGCACCTCTTGGCTGTTTCTCCTGTTAATGTTTTTCCTTCCCTTGCCAGTAGGTTTAGGTGGATGTCAATGTCTTACTATGGTTTGTTCACTAATCCTCTCAAATAAATCTCTTGAGGCTTTTAAAGAGCAGCTGTATTTCTACTGCCTTTAAACTACACAGAATATTTTTAACTGGGTGATTTTTTTTAAAGCATTTGCTTTAATGATGTCATTTTAATAGGATAGAAATACAAATGCAATTTTAAGAGATTTTTTTTTTTTTGAAAAAAATATGCTTTTTTTTTGTTTTCAGTTGTTGATCAAAACACAATAAAATACACCGATGTTTCATGTTACATTGCAAAAATGGGGAAAGTTTTAAGTAAAGCACTGTAAACTGTTACTCATATTACTTCTTACAGATGAACAGGAGATTGTTTCAACTTTAAGGCATTGAATCAGATTTCTAAGCAAATATTCTGGCAGTTATAAAAAAACACTAAAAGAGGAACCTTAAAAATCACCAAATATCTTTTAACCCACTGAATAAAGATTCAGTTCAAACCCATCTTCAGTGTCATACCATTGGCCATGATGTGTGATTTGTTGGCAGGGCTGAAGCAGAGGTTGTGAAGGGTGAGCAGCGCATGCTGCCGGTGTGGTGCCAATTCTGCTAGCAGTTCCAGGATTCCGGTTACTTTCAGAATACTCTGCTGCCCATCCTCTGTGGAGGACAGGCTGACCAGGAGCCTCAGCCACTGGTTCAGGAGGTTTCCACCGCTACCGACCGATGTGGCCTTGGCACCAGCCTTATGGGAAGGCACTAACAGGAAGCTCTGAAGGAAATTATTCTGAGAATCACAGAAAATGATCACAGAGGAGGCAGCTTACAATTTTAGCAACACGAAAAACAAATAATTAAGCCTTGCTTTCAGAAATCATTTAAGCTGTTATTAAAACAAACACTTTTGTTGTAAAGTATAGTTGTACAGGTTGTACAACTATACTTTACATTAAAGTGGTAAAAAAATGAGTCCTTCATCTTTTCGTACCTTTTGCAGGGCGCACCTACAGTCCCGTGACACAGCCAGGTTAGTAAGTAGAGAGAAGCAAAGATTCTGGATGGGGCTGTTGTCTGGGGCAAGAGAGGTCAGCTTCATCACTGAATTCATCAGAGACGTGTTGGAAGAGCCTTTAGATCCTGGCGCCCCACTGAGGCTACTGCCACACAAGGAGCTGCATGCTGGGAACAGAGATAAAAAGTTTTCGGATTTAGAAAACAGGACACATTCAGCCATCTGTACC